TGGGACTGAAAATGCTTCAAGTACTGGTTCAAAAACAAATCTCTAGAAACATCACAGGCTGCAAATAAAGTATCTGAATGTCTGATTAGATGACTGACTGTTGAATAAATCTGTGCAGGAGAATACAGCAATGCATAAGAATGGCACTGTTTAACAGTAGTGAACACCAGTAAGACAGGGGAGTGTTTTAAAAGAGAGACAATACGAAGTACAAAAGTGCTCTTGGCTAAAATACTTCCTAGAGTCTCCAAGACACAAATAGGCTATTTTTTTAAAGTTGATTTGCAAATCATTTGTCTAGAGGTGAGAATAGCTTTATCATAGACACAGTGTCCAGACTGGCTGACAAATGCCGCTCAAAAGGCGACGCCACGCTAAGCCGCACAAATTATCATGGTGGAAGATACTTCTGTGGGAAACCACACTACCATATCTGTCCTGCAGAGTGTTGGCCAGAGGTGTTGAGACTCCCTTCCTTGATTGCACTCAGTTCAGCACACTAGATTTCAAGACACCATTTGTCTTGTAACCATGCCCCAGGGGTGCTGTTCTCCAAGACCACAAAGTGAAAGGCGCCCTGGTGGCTGGCAATGCGGTGGCTGAGCCCATGTCTCTTGTGGCCTGAGGAAAAGAGCTGGCTGCAGGAGGGACTTCAGCCCTACTCCGCTGGCTCCGAAGGAAGCAACAGCCCTTGTGAGGACTAATGACGGTCTGTCTTACTGATGACTATGGGAAACACCAAGTGAAAGAGTTGCCTTTCACGTCACCCCTAAACTAGCGGGGCCCGTCCTTGGCTTCACATCACCATCATCAAGCACCTCTCCCAAAGTTCTGGACTTCATTGGGCTGGGTGGGGCCCAGGCATCTGAATTCAGAAGTTCCCTAGGTGATTCTAATGAGCAACCAGGATTGAGAATCACTGCTGGAAACAACTGCACTTTATTTTCTTCTCCTTTAAGTGTAAGAAGACGTCAAAGGAGCTTTCGTGCCCATGTTGCATTAGGGTCTTGGACATGTCTGGAAACCATCTTGGTGGAGTGAGGTGGTAGGACCAGGGCTAGGGATGCCACCTACAAGACCGGCACCAAGAAGACGCTGAAAGCAAGCCCCAGGCTGGAGGTGACTGGAGGTGGGATAGGGAAGAGGAGAGAGAGAGAGAGGATGGCCCCAGACAGAGAGGAAAAGAAGGAAGCTTTCCTGCCAGCCGAGCTGGGAGGGCCATTCCTAGGAAGACTGTCCCATGTGTGAGATGTACAAACACAAGGTACTGGCTTCTTGAATGAGCTAAATTGTTAGAAAAGGGATAAACTCTAAAGGAAAAGAAATTAACACAAAATTTGGAGAAATTTTGCACTGCCACTCGTTTCTATTGCATTCGAACGTTTCCCTTGCGGCGAATCTTTAAAGATAAACTTAAACACACATATGGTAGCATTACATTTTATTACTCACAAGGCTAATATTTTCCCATGCTTTTTTTCATAGTATGATATTTCAATATGTGATAGAAGTGGACATTTGGGTTTAAGCAGGAAGTAATAGATCTCCCAAAAATCGTTACTTGTAAAGCCATTACTGATCAGATTAGGAGGAGATTGGAGGCTATCTGCTTCAATCTTACATGCAAAGCAGAAATATTCACTCCTTCTGGTCTGTAATTAAAAACCTCTCATATCACTCCGAAGTCTAATTCCCTTCAGGTCCTAATGGGCCAGTTATTTCCCGTCAGTTCTTCAATGAAACAAGGGCCATTCTCTCAGTCCTCTTACAACGCTCCTCCACGTGGTCACGAACCTTCCTGATCTTGCCCATTGGGGTCCATCTCACTTTCTCCAGCCTTGTGCTTGGAATAAACGATTTCACTTTTTTTTTTTTGACTCAATAACACCACCAAAAATCAAAAACAAAAATCAAAGATCAATATTTTGAGGGGCAGAAGGAGTCAATTCATGTTTTTAAGTAAAACTGTTTTTTACTTTTCATGTAAAGAAAAAGCCAGACAACACTGCATGACATTTCCGTCACACTCTTTAACTCCCACACTCCTTGTAGACTTTTCACTAAGGATAAACACTTTGACTAAACTGTTCGCTTTCTAAATACTTTAGCGTTAAGGAAGAATCTCAGTCTGCCACACAGACATGTCACTTAAACTTTCTCAGCCTTGCTTCCGTCATCTGAACAGTGGGGATTCATCAGACTAAGTTCACAAGACTGCAAAGTTCACAAAGCTGCAAAGACAGCTTTTGTTGCTGTTTTCACTACGTAAGAAATGAAACTTCCCTCCCATCACAGGCACATGTGCTCCTCGCCATGTCATTATCTTAAAGCCTTGAGTCTTCCTCCTAAAAAGTCTTGGTCTTAAAAGGCTGAAGTCTTAAGTCTTAAAGTCCTAGTTTCAGGCCTCTCTGGCCATAGGGCTAGCAATTCAGACGAGATGCCGGTAAGCACTGGGCTGTCCGTGCAGCGCCCTGTGACCTCTGGCCATGTCTCCGTCAGCTCACGCAGCTGTCATCACTTGCCATTCTCAGCGGAGGCACACACTACAGTGGCGGAGGGATAGGTGCGAGCCCCAGGGTCCTTCCACCAATGCATCCCAGTGTGAGATTTCCACACACTATGAGGGCCTAGCATCAGAGCAGCGTACACAGCCCCAGCCCAGGACGTTTCTCTTTATGGGGAGTATATAAAGACCAGCAGCTCCCAGTAAAGCAATTCAGCAACAGTCGGGGGGAGGGTATGGCTCAATTGGTAGAACACATGCTTAGCATGCATGAGGTCCTGGGTTCAATCCCCAGTACCTCCTCTAAGAATAAATAAATAAACCTAATTACCTCCCCCCACCAAAAAAAAGAAAAAAGAAAGCAACAGTCAAGGCGTGAGGCCACGTGGCATCTCTGATGGAAGACGGTGCACAGGGCACACTGCTCCCTCCCAATCCCAACAGTCAGAGCCGCGCTGCATGGGCTTTATGGCCAAGTGAGAAGGACGAAATGGGCTCCATGTGGGATTTTTGAAAATGCAGTTAGTCCCGCTTGAGGAGGTGTCCCTGTTACCCCATCCCAAAGCCAAGCTCTAAATCCAGACTGTATTATAATCTGATTTTTAAATGTGGGTTTATGTGGCTACAGGTCTTATTCCATTTTCTTTTGCTGTAGTAATGACTGAAGAATTTGGAAGATCAGCTATGAATACCAGCCGGAGGCCTTGATGTGGTGTATGGTTTCACAGGCTGAAATTCGTACCCCCAAAATCCATATGTTGAAGTCCTAACCCCCAGTATCCCAGAACGTGACTATATTTGAGATAGGATCATTAAAGAGGTAATAAAATGAAAATGAGAGCCTTAGTGTGGGCCTCAATTTTATATGATTGGTGTCCTTACAAAAAGAGGGAATTCTGACACTGATGGGTGCAGAGGGACAACCATGTGAAGATAGAGGGAGAAGACAACCATTGAGCGAGGCCTGGGAGGGGATCAGCCCTACTGACACCTTGATCTTGGAGTTTGAGTCACTGGAGTCGGGAGAAAATTAATTTTTGTTGTTCACGCCACCCAGTCTGTGGTAGTGTGTAATGGCAGCCCTGGCAAATTAATACACGTGGCAAACAAGATGTGGAGAGGACATGGGAACCAGCGCTAGGCTCTGTAGGGAGCTGTCTAATATAGTCAAAGGACCGTTCAACTCTTGCTGCTCTCCTACTGATAAATCACCCTCCAGTGACCTTTTACTCACAAATCAGTACCTCCAACAGCAGCTATTTTTATTGTTCCAAGAACCCACGATTTGAGCAAAGTCACCTTCATAAAATGCTGCGGCATTTCATTCAGCTCCATCCTGCGGAAGTCGGTGGATCTCAGTAACAGAGGCCACAGTCTGTGAGATCAAAGGTGCTGAGCTGTGACATGTGGTTAGCAGTGGTCTGGTTGCCTTAAGACCAGGGAAATATTAGAAGAAGACAGTAAGCAGAATAAAAGGGGAGAAAAACAGGAGAAAAGGCCCTTGTGTCTGTCCTTTGAAACGAACTGCCGACGCTCTGACCACCGTGGAACGTTCCGGCCCTGACTGCCCTGCTGGGTCATCACGCCACGCCCACTTCCCGTACGGTCAATGGCAATGACCTCATCTTCAAAAGGGTTATTTTAGACGTTAGAAATGAGCTTGAACTACCTATCTCACCCTGTGTAGGAATCAGTTCCGCAGGTGCATTCACCTCTGGACCCCCATCTTGGTTCCGCTTGTTTTTGTCATCACTTTGATAAACAGGCTTTCGTCAGCAGGCCAGCTGCCCTCCCCGTGGGAGAAGCCAAGCCTGAAGCAGGCAACGCCGCCACGCGAGTGAGGATACAACAGGAAGCCCCGAGGACACGCGGACTTAGAGCTGAGCTCTGGCTTTGCCACTTACTGGTGATGTGGTCTCAGCCAAATTAAATTTTCCTAGTCTAAGTTTTCTCACCTGTGAAAACAGGTTGAAACACCAGCCCACAGTTGAGTTGTGAGATTCAAACAAATAAGTCTAAGTAAGCAGCTAGCACACAGTGGGCGTTCCATAAACGTTAGCGTTCTTACTACTACTCAAATAGTTACTATCAATACTGCTACTCATCAAAACTTTTCTTCTTCCCTTTCCCATTATATACCTGATGTCGACCACCTAACCTATCTCCTTGCAAAGTTGTCTCTACCCACTCCTTCACCACCCTTGCATTTTCTAAAAGGACCCTTGATTTTGATTGCCACCCCTGGAATAGCTGTCTCAGAGGCTGCCGGTGACCTAACTGCCAGAGCAAACTGACTTTTTCTCCAGCAACCCTCTCTGACCTCTATAGCGCCCAACAGTGCCCTCTACCCACCCTTTCTACATAATTGCTTCTCCCCTCGTTTATGTGACTCGACATATTCCAGGTTCTCTTACCTTCCCTTCAGTTACACATTCACAGTGAACTGCCAGACACTTCCCACCCGTATGCTCCTCCTCGTGTCTGCCTCCTGCCTGGAATGTCTTTGCTTCCAGCCTTATTAAAATTCTCCTCATGTGGTATTGCCTGTGAAAGTCCTCCTCCAAGATGCCCGAAGACCTAATCATTCCATTTGGAAAGATTTCCTTCCTGCTATTGCAAAAAAAAAAAATCACGTTTTACCTAAACCCATCCCAGGGCATTTATCACATCCTACACAACAGTGTGACTATTTATCTACGTGTTTGGAAGGTAGGAGGACAGGACAATCTGTTGCATGTGATAGGCGTTCAACACATGTACCAGTAAACGAAATAGCAATTATAGTTGAACTGTGCCTTTAGCATTCATGTCAAAACAAGACTATCAATTTGACCCAACATTGTAAAATGATTATAACTCAATAAAAAATGTTAAAAAAAAAAGACTATCAACACGCATTGACAACTCTGAGCTTTTCTCATTCCTACTTGGCTATTTCTGTGAGTCTGGGTTACAGAGATGTTGTGTCTACTTTCCTCTCTAAAAAGGAAAGAGGTTAGGGCCTCCATCTCTCTCTTTAAGAGAAACATCTCGAGTTGTGCTCATGGCCCATTTTGGCCCCCTCTGCTTCAAACAGTTTCCAAACTCCTAAACAAAGACGTTGAAAACAAGTTTATCCAAATCCAGGAAGGGTAACTATTATCACTGAAGACACAAGATCCACAGCCTCGCTGATCAGAGGCTGGAATGATGGGCTGAAGCCAGTGAGGTCGCTTTAAGCCAGCACACGTGTATAACTCTACGGCCCCAAAGCACCTGCATGGGCATGGGAAACAGCACGCCTACGCTGGCAATAATTCATGAAAAAAAATAGTCTGTCTTCAAATACCTGAAGGAGGAGTGACTTTCCTCTGTGGTTCCAGTGTGCACAGCCAGGGAGGATGGGTGAATCGCAGCTGCCTTGTAAAAAGGCCTTTCCTTCAGGGTGGCCCAATGCTGGCAAGGGCTGAGGTATAGATGCAGAAAGGGGTCCTTGCCTCAGAGAGGGAGGGTGGATCCTGATCTCTCAGGGGACCATTTTAACTGTGCGACTGGATGTCCCTGAGTGATTGTCCCCTGCTACCTCTCCAGCCTCTCCTCACATGACTCTCTTTCTTGCCATGAGCAAGCTTGTCCACGGGTCTTCTTTTCTTTAAACACATGGCACCAGCCATGCCTGGACTTCACGTGTCTTGTTGATGCTGTTCCATCTGCCATGAATGTCTTTCCCCTCTCTAACCATCCACCCACTTGCCTGGCTAAACTGTACCCATCCTTCAGGTCTCTGCCTCCCAGACCAGTGTCATCTGCTTGCACAGAATCCTGCCATCCCCCTGACCACACGTGGCACACCCACAGGCATTTAATTGTTTGTTTGCTGTCATTAAAAAAAATGTCTGCCTTTTCCCCCAGTCTGTAAGCTTCTTGAAGATCACAGCCATGATCGTTCTGCTCACTCAGATACCTCCAGTCCTGGTCACTGGACTTGGCTGGCAGAGAGAAGCTCAATAAACATCAGTTGAGAGACTGACTTAACCCAATGCAAATATTGGACTTATGAGAAAGACTGATGAAAGGGTGAAAAAGAGAGAAAGGGATAGAGACAGAGAGAGAGTGCTCACTGCATGTTTGAATGTCCTTCCATTTGGTGACAGTTCATAGCTGACCATAGTGCGATTACAGAGTTTCAAAATCTCAGACAAACATTCAGACAAGGTTGGACCCTTAGCTACAGTGGCGCAAAATCCAAAGAAAAACAAAATGATCCGTCTCCTCACATATTTATCTGAAAGGGCTGTTAAAGTCTCCAGTTCTGAAGGGTCAGGAAGAAACGAGGATAGAAAGATTTTTCACATCACCTTTGCTGCCTCTAAACGAACCACTGCGGCAGTCTGCCTACAGATCTGCGTCCTGCTCTACTTAGTCTGGGAGAAGGAGCTGAACTGAGGGAGATCTAGGCTGCTGCTCAGAGTGAAAGGCCGGGGAAGTGGTGGGTTGAGATCTGTTGTGCTCGGTCCATGAGGTGTGAAGAAAGCCCTGCTTCCCATTTCCCTTTTCTTTTCACCTATAAATTGAGTGGTTTGCCACATGTTTGACTCTTTCCAACCTCCACATCTGCGTTAGACCTTTCCTAAAGAAGACATATTTATTGAGCACTTATAATTCATGCACCATTCTGGGTGCTTTCCAAATGTCTTTCAGCCCTTCCAAACACCTAGTGAAGCAAGCATCAACACCCTCATTTTACTCCCAAGGACACTGGCTAAGTAACTTGGCCGACATCACAGAACCGAAGACCAATGCAGCCCAGGTGAAGTTTACTCAAAGACTGTTTTTTTCCCTACTACAGCACTCTCTAATTTGGTACTTGTGCTACCTTTTGGTTTCAGAATGACCACTAATCCTTATTAGACAAAACAGAATTGCCCTACCGAGTTACAACAAAGAGGGAGATTTATATAAAGAGAATTAAAGTATTGCTCTTGTGTTGTTGCTGTGTTGTCTTTCCAAGGAGGAGAATCACTTTTACAGACAAAACAAATCTGGAGGATGAAAAGGAAACACCCAACAACTTAAACATCTGCGGGAATCCTCACCCGAGGGTCTCGATCCTTTCTCGTAACTTCACAATGGTTTTGGCTGCTATTTTACGAAATGATGCATCTTTGTGCTCGCAGGAAATGTCGACCTTGGAATGAAAATACCACAGCATGGAGTGTGACCTCAAGAGACAAAGTCCTGGCTTATGTACTTTAGGGGGAGAATGTAGGGAGCATTTGTAAGCACTGAGCAGCTGATAACACTTGACAGAACGCAGAGACGGGATCCCAGGGAGGTGGAAGGCCGAGGGAAGGACTTGGAGCTTGGGGAGCCCCGGGGTGTTATCTGCCCCTGTCTCGAAGGACGCTAGATTGAAAAGTTTCAAGGATAAAGTTGAGCGTGAAGAACGACATACAATCTCAGCAGCCTTTGATGATGCATCAAAGGAGTATTTTGACATCATATCAGCAGCTCCATAAATAGGGAGGGGTGAAACTGAAACCAAAGACTACTTTCCCATCTCCATTGAACTTAACCAACGAGAGGCCAAGAACAGTATGTAGAACATAGCCTACCTTTGCAAGATCTGTGCACTCTGTCCTCTAGTGAGAAGGTTCCCACCCACCCAAACACGTCTTCAGATGGCTGGAGGCTACGTTTGTCAGAAAAGGACACAGATCACAGCTGTATTTTCTTATCTTGACAGCCAGCTTTTGGTGCCCTTTGAAATGTCGCCCCACTCACTGCAGTAAGAGAAACCACAGTACAGACAAAATGTGAGATTTCATTAGGGAGTTTTTTGCTGTTGTTCTCCAGCCCCTGAAAGGTTTGTTTGAGCCTCTCACCTAGCAGCACAAAAGCTCTTAAATCACTTGAATGAAAGGGTCAGACCGCAAGCTGTGCAAGCATGGGAAGCCGGCAAGCCCCTGTCAGACCACCCAGCTCTCCAAAGGGATAGCAACGCCGCCGGATTCAGACAAGACAAGAGGCTGCCGGCCTGTGTAACCCGGCCCAGGGAAGCAGTGTTTCCAGAGAGTTACAGGATCCCATTGTGAGGAACGACAGTGTGCTCTGAAAAGGTGGCATTTGTCTGACTCACTCGATCGAGGGCCTCAATTCTTTGTGTAGAGAAAGAAAATTTAAAAGACACTTTCAAAAAATTTTAAGAAAAGCAATAAGCCAAATCTGTGGGTCTGTTCTCAAAGCAAACACGAAAAATATCTCATTTCCCCGTATCTCATGTTTGGAAGACTGAGCCACATCCATCAGTGTCAGAATATTAGAGCTAGAAAGATGCCAAAATGCACTGAATCCAACTCTTTTGTTTTATTGATGGAGAAGGTGAAGCTCAGAGAGACTAACCTTGGATTAGTGGCTCATCTGAGACTGGTTAGCAAGAGCTTAGATGTGAAACAGCATGAGGACAAAGAATCTATCCATACTACACACATTGATCTCTCTGAGTCCTTGGACACCAGCACAGAGCTTGGCATGCACCAGGTACCTACAAACATTTGGACTGAGGGGAGGAAAACGAAGAAGGGGAGCTGATGACCTTTTTACTGTAAGCACACAATGCCATTAGATGTCACTGGGGATGAGAATGGAAGCTGAGTTCTTACTTTCCTACATGGTCAAGTGAAGACCCCCTCATGACGGAGGAATCATTTCCTATTTCTCCCAAGCCCTGTGGGTTGGTCCAATCAAAATATGGCTTCTAGGAATCAGACTGCTCCCAAACAGTCCCAAGAAATAATCCAGCTCAGTTCAGCCCAACTCAGCCTAGCCTGTCCCCAGGAGCGGAGCATCCCCAGCAGGTTGATAAAGGATTAAGAACAGCCTTGGGTTTAACGTTTCCAAGAAAAACATTGCTTGGCCACGCAGAGCAGGTCAGACCGCCATAGCCCAGCATGTGGAGCCAGAGGAACACAGCGTTCAGGTGCCTTTCCCTGACTCCCTTTGTCACTCATGTGAAGGGAAAGGTGAGCAAAGGGGGAAAAAAAGATGAGTTTGGCAGGAGAGCTGGTTGGAAGTCCTGGTCTGTCAGCCAGGCATGCAAAACCACGCTGCATGTAACTTAGGTTCCACATCAGCTCAAACTTAAGTTTATTGTTTACGTATGAGGTTTAACATTAACCAAGGACACGACAAGAATTTAACTGCCAAGGACGATGTAAAGCAGTGCTTATCCAAGTGTGACCAAGCCTGCAGGAGAACCACCTGGGCAAATTCCCAGCCCCAATTTAAGTCTAAAATCCTTGAAGGGCGTAGCTGAGGCACTGGCCTTATACCAAGCACCCAGGGGATTCTTATGAACCCTGAGTTTTGAGAATCCCTGACGGAGAGAAAGAGCAAAGGTAGCTAACATTTTCTTAGCACTATGCTGAAGGCACTTCTATCAAATGAAGGCAGGGGACTAAGAATCAATGCTTCAAGTTTTCACCAGAGCCGGGTACGGTGGTGTCAGTTTTCCAGAGCAGAGACCTGGAGAACAGTTGCATCTCTAGGTCTGGGCTGTGAAGCGGCCCTGAAGAGGTTAATCCCTCCAGCAAGATTCCCAGGCCATAAACTCCAACCAGCATCCGGAAACGCTCTTTTTAAGCTTTGTAATTCACCCCACACAACAAGACTGCACACAATAGCTTTAAAAAAAAAACAGAAATGAAAATTAAATGCCTTGACAATTATTTCTGAGATCCAGATGACAACTAAAAGAAACTATTCACTGCAGCACCAAAATCTCCGGACCAAATCCAGGTAATGAGAAGAAAGTGCTAAAAATCAGTCAAAAACTTCAGAACAATATGATTTCTTTGCCTCTCCAACAAATCTCGCTCATCCTCATAAAAATAGAAACCATGCTTTAAAAAATGTATCTCCAAATATAAAACTAAACTAAAGCAAAAGTATCTAAAACCACCTCATCCAAATTTGCAGATCTTCATACCATGAGGAGGATATTATCTATTTGGTTAATTATTGCATCTTTGCTCTTTGCCATTCCATTTAGCTGAAAAGAAACATCCTGATTTAGGGGGTAAAGTTACAGAATTTAAAATGTTTATTTCATTGATGGGTGCTACTGGAGATGGATTCAGAAGAGAGTTAGACATTCGTGTTATGTAATAAAGAGCCTTGCACTGGGGGCTTATGGCTTTTTAACACTGCAAGTTGCCACCTTCTGCGTTTACATGAGAAATAAACTTTTGCAAGCAGATTCCGTATACTTCTTGCATCCTCGTTACTTGGAGTTAGTGCTACCACACAAACAACCTCTGGGGCATTCGGCTAACAGCATTCACAGTCAAGACGAGAGGAAATACACAAAGCGGATACTTACAGGTAGTGGTTTTCCCTGCCAAGCCAAAATGCCAGAAACCCCTGGCCCGGGCAGACGGGGTAAGAGTCACTGACCCGGTAATCTCTGGTTTAAAGGGCTTTCAGAGGAAGGGGGAGGAAAAACAACCCAGGGAGGGAAAGAAAGCTGAAATTCCAGTCTTTCAGGTCAGCTGAGTTTTAGCTTTCTTTGTACTAAACATCCATGAACCCACCCGACAAGAAAATATAGAATTGAAGTTCACATACACACTCCACTGTCTTTGCTGGTCTCCTCCAAGGCTGCAGCTGCTGCGGCTTTGCAAACTTCCTGGTTGCCAAACCTCAGGACTCCCTGGGAGAAGGGCACGGAGAAAGGATGCCTGCAACTGTTTGCAGGGAGCCCGACCTCCCTGGCAGAGAGCCGCAGCTCTCCAGTCCCTGCTGCTGGCTGGGTCCGCAGGGACAAAACTGAGCTTTTGTTAATAAGGTCGGTGGCGTCTCTCCCCAGTCTCTCCCCAGCTTCCTCCCTCACTATTAGTTATGTACTAACTGCGCTGCCACTGGCTGAGCTGAAGCTGCCTCTCCCGCCCGCGGCGCACAGGCACAGGCGCTCAGAGACACAGGCACGCACAGGGGCACACGCACACACACCACATACACACAGTCGCCCACACATACCACGCATAGGCACCCACATGCGTGTGTGCACACTTACCCACACACAGACAAATGCGTTCACAGGCATGCACACACATTCACACACCCTCACACCTACATGTATGCAAACGCACACCACACACAGATACACACAGCACACACACGCGTTCACATACACACACACACACATACTCACACAAGTTTTCTCCTGAACCTTCAAACTCTGCAAACACACTTTTCCCCTGAACCCTTTTTGGAACAAATTCCCATCCTGAAAGATTTTTATTCAAATTCAGACAAGATGCCCCACCTTCCGAAGGGAGGAGGAAGGGGGCCTGGCTCCTCTGAACTTGGGTCACAGCCTTTGAAGGAAAAGAGGAGCTTCTAGAGTCTGGTTTCTAAGTATCGCCCTAGTTCTTCAGCTTATAAGGCTTTTCAAGTGTCTGGTTCGTTTTGAAAATCCACAAAAATTCCATTAATCTCATCACATGTGCATACAGTTTGTAACCCCACTGACTCAGACCTATCACAGGTCAAGAAAATGTCCTCTCAGAGGCTCGTTTAGTTACACTGATCAGGACTCGGGGGGTGGGTCAAAGCCTTGTTCCTTAACAGCTCCGTCATGAAGTGCGTTCCTCTATTTCATCTCCAGCAGAAAATAAATAAATAAAGGCGTACTATCTGGGCCAACGTTTAAATTGACCATAAATAGAGAAGTTGGAGCATCATCTCGCTTTGGAGGCACCGTTTGTATTGAGACATGTCTGGCTATTCTAGGCATTAGCCCCAGGTGCTAGGAACTGTGAGTCCAGTTCAACCTAGACTGTAATAAGGTCACCACACATTACCCTCTTTCTTAAAAGCAATGAGAGGGAGAGAGAGGAAAATGGAAAAGAAAGGGAAGAAAAGTATGCAAAGAAGGAAGAAAGGAAAGAAAGAAATGAAAAAAGAATTCAAAATGAGAGAAAAACAATTATTTTAAAACATACTTTATAGACTTGAGCAATGAAAGGAACACACACACGTATTCAAAGTCACCAGAAATTCAAAATCTTCAAGAATCTCTTGACTCATTCCATTTGCTCTGAGAATAAATGGGTGAATCTCCTTCAAGGACCTCTAAGCTCTTTATTAAACAAAGTGTTTTACAAACACTGTCTACCAAATACATTTATTAGTAAACAAATACAGTGACAGTGTATGATTCATGTATTAACCTTGAGAAAGCAAGAAATAAAGCCTCAAAGATGATAGTTAGGAAATACAGGGTGACAGACAATCTTGTTCTCAGATTTAATTTAAAAATTTCCCAGCTTGTGAATATCTCACCTGCAAAGAAATGTAGATGATTCTGGATGCTGTTAGCTGAGACACAGAAGTCACTTGAGAAAGGAATGATAGTAGGAAGCTGCATTAATGTGCTTCTCCTAACTTCTGGGCTAAATAAAGGTTATGGATTCATCTAGAAACAGAAATAAGTATTTTACATCACGTCTATGGGGAAAAAAGACATCTTCAGCATTCTAAGTAAAAAAAAAAAATAACAAAAACTTAGATTGCAACATATTTCAAAATATCTGCAGGAAATGTAATTTTCATTAAGTTAATGATATTACATGATGCTTGGCCTAACTTTGTACTGAACAGATTCTAGAACAGAGTTAGAGGTAAGTTTGCCAAAATGTCTTGAAATCTGAAGCACCTGCTTGTACAAATACGTTGGTCTTTCTCTTACATCTTCCATAAACGGGCAGGGGCTATTGAAATAACACAACTATAACTTTAATAAAGGACTCTTTGAACAAGTTGAAATGCAAAGCCAGAATATTTTAAAAGAACTAGCCAAGGAAACAACAAAAGAATTCTTCCCCTCAAAAAGCCTGTGCTGTTGAAACAAAATGCATTTTAAAGAAATCATTCTATTTCTAACCTTAGAGTGGGAGTGATAAGAAAAATATAAAATGTCCTGTGGTTGGAGATTACCCACACCTTTTGGGATCGGAAACATGTATGATTTTTGCTGAATTGCTGTAGAATACAGCATTCTCTAAGAAGCATAGCCAACACCTTCACCAAAAACCCATAAAAAAAAAAATTAGGAAATGCCTGTTAAATGTTGCTGATGGCACCAAGCAGAGAGGTATTATCCATTGCTCTGTGAAAGCAGTTTTCCACTGAGTCTGTAAAACCCTAAGGTTATGGGAAGTAATGCTGTGACAAAAAGAGACTACTGGCCAGGAGTGAAAGTGTCACACTTTAAATACATCAGTTCAAAACAAATAAGTAAATAAAATTAAAGCAAGATCAGCACCCCTGTGTACCAGAAAAGAAGAGAAACAAAACGTAGCAAGAATGTTTAGAGGCGGAGACTTGCTGACCTCAGAGTTCAGGGTGGCTAGGGGATAACAGGGAATGAAGCAGACACCAGCAAGGCAGGAAGGAGAGCGAAGTGCTCTGTGCGGAGTTCTAAAAGGACAGACCAGTAGCACTTTTTCAAACATAAGTACAAAATCCTCAATAATGTATTTGCAAAGTTGACCTAGCTATGTATTTTTAAAGATACTATACACAAATAGGATTTATTTCAGGACTGCAAGGATGGTTCAGAGTACGAACATCTAGCAGTTTAACATACTGAAGGAGGGGAAAAAGCCACATGATCATCTTAATAAATGCAGAAAAGTAGTATTCAGTAAAATTCAATGCTCATTCACTAAGCAAACAAAAAACACTATTAGCCAGCTAAGAATAGAATGGAAATCTTTTTACCCAAAGACTTCTGTCAGAAATCTCACGCTTAATGGTAAAATGTTAGTAATCACTGAAGAAGAATGGAACAAAAATGCCGACTACAGTCCCCACAATTCAACAGTGTGTAGGCGACCCTAGCCAATGCAGTAAGTCAAGAAAAAAGAAAAGTGAGACATGAGGATTGGAAAGGAAGAAGATCAACCTTTTACTTCTAAAAGTTTTTCTTAAAAAAGATATTATCTTAAAAAAAAGAGTCTAAAAGATATTTCTAAAAGATTTCTAAAAGAGTTTGCCTACAAAATATCTTAAAGGAATCTTCTGAATGAGAGTGTTGCAAGAGGGTGTCCTGGTGGGAGAGGCGTTGAAGGGACAGCCTTTTCCAAGTACACACAGGTACACAGCACTTTGTTCTATGTCTGGAGCCAACAGTCCAGCTGGAGATATGAAAGAATGAAAGATTCAGGGCCTTTTATTTTATGAGGCTGATACTCAAATAATGTGCTTCACTCTACCTGAGAAAATGTTTCCCCTCCTCTGTGTTCAAGGCTATTGCTTGTGGAAATGGAAACTTTAGGCTAAAAATTCTACTCATCCCATTATCACTTCCACATTTGTTCATTAAATTCAGGCAGGAAATCAGAATAAACTGACTCATTCCATTCCATTCCACTGTGCTGCATTTTTCTCATTAATAGTTAACTTGAACACAACTTCAAATGCTAGCATCAAAGTAAACAGACACTAGGGTTTCTGCACATATGCTAAAAACATAAAAGAAACATCAAGAATCCTTTTTAATCTCCATCTTTCACAGGAAAGCGGGGAAGTGCACCAAAGGCAGCATAAAACAATTTAATTTAAAGATGTTTTACATTTCAACTCTCTCTGTGAGATTTGGGAGTGATCTGGTCTCTCAAAACTTAGCACCAGAAACGATTTTATCTTTCCAATCATAACATAAGGAGTTGGGAGTCTTTGCTTATTGATTCTGGAAAATCTACCTCAAACTCTCTCAAGAGACAGTGTATTTTGCATCATAAAGAAATCAAAATAAAAACAGTTGTTACATTAAAAAAAATAAAAATCATGGCAGCTTAGTCCAAGCAAAGTACACTGAAAGTGACAGAACACACCCACAGGCAAAAGGCACTTTTCTCATCTTAGGAAAAAAAATGGCACCAATCTACTAACAAAATCCCAGACTTGCTTAGAAAGATGAGGCTGAAGTCACACACTCAGTGTGTCTCGCAGAAACCAGAAAATGCTGATCTATTAAATTCTCTTCAACAAGAGTTATTAAACCTTAGTATGAGCGAGGCTCTGTGCTCATTGTGGGAGGGACACACATGAGCAGGACCTGGTGCCTGCTCTCAAAAACCTTACAATGCAGTTGGAGAAGCAAGACAAGAATACATACAGTGAGGGGTATAGTTCCATGGTAGAGTGTGTTCTTGGCGTGCACAAGGTCCTGGGTTCAGTCCCCAGTGCCTCGGTTAAGGGAAAAAAGAGAGAGAGATTATATATTGAGATATGATTAAGAACAGCTAACAATTATTTAACACATACCCCCTTATGTGCATTTTTTACTCACATGCATTTATTAACTCATTTAATCCTGACAACACTAATACCTTGAATGGATCTAGAGGCTCAAACCATAGCCTCCACTCTTCCCCCCTCTACTGACAAACTTTGCCTTTGCTTTACTTTGCATATTAGCTTTATTTTCTCCTGCTACATACAGGCTTTTTTTGTGATAAAGAAAACCCCAGCAGCCCAGGCCTACCTTCCTATGGTTTATAATCTGGAAGAAAAAGAGTCATCTTCCTCATTAGTTTAAGCAGAAAAACCCTAGAGCAACTGGGGAAGGAGTGGGAGTTGCAGATGTTGACACAACGAGACAACTAGAGCGGGGAAAGATTTTCCTAATGGGAACAGGGTGGCGGGGGAAGAGGCATAGGAAAGCCACTGGGCAGGACAGTCAGGCACGCTGAGAGATGTCTGTTTTAATCTCTGAGTCAATAGGGACCCTTTCTCACTGAAATATATTTGACATATAACAGTGTAAATTTAAGGTGTACATGTTAATTTGATACATTTATATATTGTATTATAACTGTCACTGTAGTGATAATTAGCACCTCCATCACATCACATAATTATCCTTTCCTTTCAGTGGCTGGAACAATTAAGTTCTAGTCTTTCAGCAAATTTGATGGTTATCATACGATATTGTTGTCTATATTGACTACACTTAGATCTCTAGTGCTTAAAAAAAGAAGAGAGCTATCAAACCATGAAAAAAAGGGAGGAAATTCAACTGCATGGCAGAAGCTTAAGTGCATATTTCTAAGTGAAAAAATCCATTCTGAAAGTCTATATACTGTATTATACCAACTATATGACTTCCGGAAATGGCCAAATTATAGAGACAACAAAAAAGAATCAGGGGACAGGAAAAGGGAGGGCTGAAAGGTAGAGCACAGAGAATTTTTAGGGCAAAGAAGCCACTCTGTGTGGCAGACAGATGTCTTTATAAATTGGTCCGGACTCATAGAACATACAACACCAAGAGTGAACCTTAACACAGACTACGGACTCGAGTGAGACTGAGTTGATACAGGTTTATCGGTTGTAACAAGATGTACCACACTGGTGGCGGATTTGATAATAGGGAGGCTCTGCATGCGTTGGGTAGAAGAATAAGGAAAATCTCTGTACTTTCACTCAATTTTGCTATGAACCTAAAACTTCTCTGAAATATAAAATCTAATAAACATACATATATATATATATATATATATATATATATATATATATATATATATTTTAAAATCAGAGGTATTTAAAAAAATGGTACCTCTGGTCACAATCCTCTCAAGGAGGAAAGACTGTCTTTAAGATTCCACCCAGGACTCTCTGGGCTCGGACTTAGTTCTCACCAACATGGCTAAATGCACCAAGAAGATCGGAATCATCAATAAATATGGGACCCATTATGGTGCTTCCCTCCAGAAAATGGTGAAGAAAACTGAAGTCAGCCAGCACGCCAAGGACACTTGCTCCTCCTGTGGCAAAACCAGAATGAAGAGACGAGCTGTGTGCATCTGGCACTGTGGGTCCTGCATGAAAACAGTAGCTGGTGATGCCTGGACTTACAACACCACTTCGGCTGTCACAGTAAAGTCTGCCATCAGAAGACTGAAGGCATTGAAGGACTAGTAGAAGTGCCACCATTTGAAACCTTGCTAGCCTGTAATAAATGGGTTAATTTAAGTAACAAAATTTTTTTTTAATTCCACATGGGGAAATTGGAACCCTTATGTACTGTTGATGGGGTTGTAAAATGGTGCAACCATTACAGAAAACCATGTGGAGTTTCCTCAAAAAAGTTAAACATAGAATTAACACATGACCCAGCAACATTACTTCTAGATACATAGTCCAAAAAATTGAAAACAGGATCTTGAAGAGATATTTGCATACATATATTTATGACAGCACTATTCACAGTTGCCAAGAAGTGGAAACAACCAGAATGTTCATCAATGGATGAATGGATAAACAAAGTATTTTGGAATATTATTCAGCCTTATAAAAGAAAAAAACCCTGTCACGTATTCTAACATGAATGAAACTTGAAGACATTATGCTAAGTGAAATAAACCAGTCACAAAAAGACAAAAACCGTATGATTCTACTGATAGGAAGCATCTAAAGTAGGCAAATGTATAGAAACAGAAAGTAGAATGGTGGTTGCCAGGGAAGGGGAGAAAGGAGAGCTGCCATTCGATGGGTAAAGAGATTCAGATTTCCAAGATGAAAACTTTCTGGAAATCTGTTTCACAACAATGTCAATATACTTAACACTACTGAACTGTATACTTTAAAATGGTTAAGATAGGTTGTGTTTTTTTTTTTAAAGGAGCTCAATATTCACAGATTTTAAAAATTCCACTAGGAACTCTCACTCTACAAGTCTGAAATCACAAATGATCTGGCATTAATTTTAAGAATGACCAATTATACAATGACTATTCCTAATAATCGTTTTAAAAACTCATGTTTTTACTTACAAGTACAGTTACAGTTTCCCAACTTACTTATAATCAACTCACCTAACCAAATCTATTTGGGATAGAGGAGAGGATATGATGAAAAGCTGTTTTTCCTGAAGTTTCCTTTATTCAAAGTTTCAAATCACCTCTTACTACTTCTGGATCTCAGGACTAGTTGTACATATCTAAACTTTTTCTAAAATTAAATATTTTTAAAAATAGGAGACATTTTTCCATATCTAGGAAATTTTTGGGAATCTTATTTAGAATAAGATCACACATACTTCTCAAAATCTTTTGTCCATAAAGTGGCAACTTTAAAGCTTTAATATTCAAGAGCAAAAATATGACATATTCAAGTGTACAGCATGCACTTGGCTTCAAAAAAGAGATAAAAAATTACAAGGTAGCTTTTCTGGAGTCTGCAGACCCTCTCTTCAGTTCCTCAGCTATGAGCACTTGACCCTATCCACCTTCTTTCACCTTCTAAACTGTTGAGTAAATTTTCCACTACTATGTGGAAATCAGATAAGAATACACAATTTCAGAAAGCCATCCCAGCATTTCAGACATAAATTACGTATATCAAGCCACGTTCACGAGAGGCTACAAATACGTAGTCATCATCTTTCCTTAGCCAAATCCCTGCACTGTACTACCCTGTGGTTTGCAAATTCTGTTTAACACACAATGCTTTTAATACTGTCATTTTTAAGCTCAATAATTCAAAGAAATTATATAAATTATTTAGCTTCAAATATATGAAACTTATCACTGCATCTGGCCCTGGTGAGCATTTAAGAAATGGCATCAATGACAATGACAATTTAGGCTCATGCTCCAAAACAATGTCACAGAAGGATCTGAGCTCTCTCTCCTGGTATCAACAAAAATGTACTTAGGAAACCAACAGATCGTCGGAGCCATGTAGGAAATCTACTGCAGACATAGCAGAGAGAGCTAAGCAGAAAGTAGAAATGCAGCCACGTAGGTATGGTCTGTGTGAACTGATCACCTTCAACTATTCTTTTCTGCTTTTATTCTGTAGCAGAAAGTTAGTTATTCATTCACGTAACGTTCACTAAGTGTCTACCATATGCCAGATACTATCTCGGGGCTGGAAGTTAGAAGTATAACAATGAATATAACATATGTAGGGAACTCTGAGAAGTTTAGGATTTTATCCTATTTTCAAGCTAACAAGTTAGTCTGCCACAATTTCATTAATGCTGGTAGGAGACACAAAACTCATGGTTCTGAGACAAAACGTTTATTACTCATGAAAATAGCTGTAGCCAGTGTATGAACATTTGTACCACCTCTCTGAAACTCAGCTCCCACAAGACAATATAAAGACGGTCAGGTAATACCTCCATCTACAGTGGTTGCAATATAAAAGAGGAACCCTGAGTTTAGGGAACCTGAATATTTTATTATGGGCAGTAAGCCTGCCTGCCCTTGGTCCTGGAAGAAGACATTATTTCACTGGACAGTACACAAACCTGCCCTCTGCTCTGGAGGGAGGCACTGTGTCTATCTTCCAAGGCTATTCGCTCAAATATCCTTGAGAGGGTGGTACAGAACAAAAACAGCCAGTGCCTTTATTCATGAGATATGCAGAAACATATGACACTCATGGAGAACTGTCTCCCCAAAATGTAGTCCCTGCTCTCTAAAAGCTTTGAATCTAAAAGAGGGACTAGAATTGGCACAAAAACAGACACATGGATCAATGGAACAGAGCAGAAAGCCCAGAAAAAAGCCCACAAACCTATGATCAATTAATCTTCAAGAAAGGAGGCAAGAATATACAATGAAGAAAAGACAGTCTCTACAGCAAGTGGTGCTGGGAAAACTGGACAGCAGCATGTAAATCAATGAAGCTAGAGCACTCCCTCACTCCACACACAAAAATAAACTCAAAATGGCTTACAGATTTAAATATAAGATAAAACATAATAAATCTCCTAGAAGAAAACATGTGCAAAACATTCTCTGACATAAATCTCAACAATGTTCTCCTAGGGCAGTCTATCCAGGCAATAGAAAACCAGAGCAAAAATAAACAAATGGGACCTAATTACTTATAAGCTTTTGCACAGCAAAACCATAAGCAAAACAAAACAACAGCCTATGGAATGGGAGAAAATATTTGCAAATGATGCAACTGACGAAAGCTTAATTTCCAGAATATATAAACTGCTCATACAGCTTAATAACAAGCCAAAAAAACATAAACAAACCAATCCAAAAATGGGCAGAAGACCTAAACAAGTAATTCTCCAATGAAGACATACAAATGGACAATAGGAACATGAAAAAATGCTCAGCATCACTAATTATCAGAGAAAT